TGTCCATGAGCTCCCCGACCAAGGAGCCCGTCGCCACTTTGTCCAATGGGGTTGAGGAAGGCGTCGGCCTGGGAGAGCCGACATTCTTATCGCACCCAGCGTTCGTGTTGTTGTTGTTCGGAGGGGTTGACGAGTTCGACTTGGTGGTCAAGTCTTCAGGGGCGTATCCACCTTTAAATATATAGAGAAGTATTTTAGAACCATTATGACGTGCCTGGGTACTTCTACACAACTAATCAAGACAACTCTAAGCAAGTTTTGTAAAAATTCCAAACATTTATCCACTTAAAAAGTATTAAACTAGAGTGTTGTAGACTACTCAATCACCTTTTGAAGAAAAGAAAATTATGCTTCTCTAAACAGAAACCAAAGCATAGGGCAGATCATAGTTGTATGGACATAAGCAACATGATTCAAGCACCCTGATATTATGAGAATGGTAGACTCTGCTACATTGGTGGAGTGTGAGAACAGTGTGACTGGATCTTTCTCCAGTTTCTATCTAATAGGTAAATTAACCAACAAGACTATTTTATTTGTTACCCTGTAAAAATAAGTGTCCCCCATGTGGCACTTGTTTCCTCAAAATATTATTTGTATCCATGAAGTAATAATAAAAATGTGATAACTGACAACAGCTATTAATGAAGAGCTCTTTGCAACAATTGAAAATTCACAATTTGACTGCTTCCTCCTAAAACTTTACTTTCAATGCTCAAATTCCACTAGTTGAGTATTCTGGGGCGAGGTCTAGATCATTTGTTTGTAAATGAAGAGAATGACAATGATGCGTAGGTGTAGCTACATTATTTCTGGACTAATCGCAGTACTTTAAAAGTATCAAAATGATGTAAAATTCGCTCCAGGCTGTCTAAGAGCCTATTTAGAATTAAAGCACAGGAAGATTTCTGAAGCAGGGAGATGAATGTGGCGAAATAAGATCAGCTACGACAGATTGAAGACAAGATAGTAAACTTTATTTTTGAAATATATTCTATGACCAATGCCACATTAATGCCACAATTATTTGCGAGCAGTGAGTGGCCATATTAAAAGTACAGGTCTGCCGCTCCTATTTTTATAAAATGAATTTTATGTACACATATACATTCATATACACTCTTTATACATAAACAAATAAAACAAAACAAAAACAACTTGATCCCTAAACAATCATCTCTATAAACTTTTCCTGAAGCTTACGCCCCGTCACCGGTACTGAGTATCCATGCGCGCCTCAGAGCAGAACGGAACAGGTCAATCACAACCACTACAACTACAACAGCAGTCTTTGAATGGAATTGTACGGTGACAAATGTGCCCTTCTTAATAAAAAAGGTAGAAGGACAGGCTTAAAATGCATACTAGCGGAATGTTCGATATGATATCGTTCAACTATTGGGATGTATAGTTAAAACCAAAACAAAAATTTCATTTAGTAGCTCTGGGTTGAGCAAATTTTTAACCAGTGACTTGGCAAAGGTAGAGGAATCAAGCATGCCAAGCTTTCTTAAATTAAATAATATTAAATAGGAACAATGTGTCACTCATAACTGGTGACACTTTGAATCTGAACTAGCCTTCAAATCATAGGATATGCCAAACTTAATTTCAATAAGAAGAATATATAACTAACGAAAACATGAACAAGTCTGGAGAGTAAAATATTTCAACATATTTACATACAAGAGTGTTAGTGAAACAAATTTTTAAAAAAACAGCGACAAAAACTAAGTTAATTTTTGGCAAAAACGTGTTAGTAAAAATCACACAGTTTACGTTTTTGGAGCTGGAATTTACACTCCTGGACCAGTTCAGTCTTAACAAACAAAACAGTGGGCTTTAATGTGCAGAAATGAACAATAAACAATACAATAGCGAACAAACCAAAGATAGGCATAGCAAAACAACGCTTGCAAAACCAGTTTGACAACAGTGAGACACAGTTAAAAGAAAACAAATTTAACAACTTTGAATAGGTCTTCCGAGCACTTATTTTCATTGATAAAACACAGAGATGTATCCTTTCAATTAATCTATCACCCTAGTAAGATACAAGATTGATATCTGAATCTTGGCTTTGGTATAAGTTACAAGTGTAACATCATTCACTTAACACAGAGAGGATACTGGGGGAAATCCGCACCTCATAACTTCATTTAAACTTGTTTTAACTATAACTACACTTTTTCATAATTTGGTCTCTCTCACGAGTGAACGAATCGCTGTGGTCGAGAGCTCAACAACTTGGCACTAAACTGCTTGTTGCACCAAGCACAGTAGGAGGAACACGATTAAAACCACTTAAAAGTACGAGGTAAACGTGGACTCAAAGCCACTTAGGAACTTGGGCCTGGCGCCTCAACACGTACAAGCTTTTGTCGAGCTGGCCGGAAGGCAAAATTCGACCCATTCTTACCCTAACACGCACATAGAAACAATTTACTTGATTCAAACACAGTGAAAAATGGCCGGTTGACAAAGATTGAATCGATATCGATTCCACGTCATGGTGCGTGATAAAATCGAGATCGGTCCAATGTGTACATTTGGCCTAACTTCCTCACTGGGACAGTGTCTGGGTGAGCTTCAAATAACATATTTTCTTTGGTTCGCGCAAAAATTTTACAGCAATTGGCGAATCCTCTCGGTCGCTCTAGATCACACATCACAAAAAAAGAAACAACAACAACGCATCACGTTCCCCGGTAACTTGTTCAGACTTATAAAGGGGCTGAGTCCCCGAGAGACAATGGCCCCGAAACACAGAAGGCAACAAACAAATTGACGTCCTGGTTGATATTCAACCGACACGCAAATCGCGCCATAGCTAGACATCAATTTGGCTGCTTGTGTCCCACTGTGACGTGTCCTTTGCGTTCGACAGACTCGAGTCCTCATCCCCACTCATCGAAAGGAAGTGGTGGCCACCATTGGCGTTCTGGTTGACCACGCACTTTCTCATGTGCTTCTCAAGCGTCGAGGGAACCGAGAAAGGCATCTCACAGAATCTGCACCGATAGACGTCCTTCCCTAAACGCCCGTGCGTCTTCATATGCCTCGTGAGTTTTGAGCTCTGCGCACACGCGTACGGACACAGTTCACACTTGTAGGGCTTCTCCCCGGTGTGAGATCGCCGATGCACTGTTAGGTTGCTGCAGTTTTTGAACACTTTGCCACAGAACTCGCAGGTGTCGTTGCGCCTGCCGTCCTTCTTCGGCATGGACGCGCCGACGGGCAGGCCCAGGTTGAGCGCGGCCGCCGCGGCCGCGGCCAGGGAGGAGGCACTGGGCCCCGCCTTGGGCCCGTTGCTCTTGAGCAGGTCGCAGGACTTCCCCCTGGAGCCGAGCAGGTCCATGGAGCCGTCGGCACCGGGGAACAGGTGGTGGGAGGAGGGAAGCCAGAGGCCGGCGTACAGGCTGTCTGCCCTGTCACCAGGCCGCCCCAAGGGGCTGCCGTGTTCGAGGTCCAGCTTCAGCCTCTTGCTCGCCGTGTCGAAGGGGTTGTCGAACGGCGCCCCAGGGCCGAAGATGCCGTGGTGACCGCCCACGAGGTCGAGGGGAGGCTGGCCAGCGGCCAGCATGTTCTTGGCGAACTCTTCCCTGAACCGCAGGGCGGCGGCAGACTTCTCCAGCAGGCCGTTCTCCAGACCGGAGCTGCGGGAGAGTTTGCCAATGTTGTTGTTGTCCCCGAGGATGAGGGGCGACCGGTGGAGGAGGTCGTCCTTCATCCCGAGGGGGTGGCCGCCGATCACAGACTCTTGCAGCGCTTGCTTGTAGGCTTCGCTGTACTGGGCAATGTGGTTCAGGCCAAACTTGTCCATGAGCTCCCCGACCAAGGAGCCCGTCGCCACTTTGTCCAATGGGGTTGAGGAAGGCGTCGGCCTGGGAGAGCCGACATTCTTATCGCACCCAGCGTTCGTGTTGTTGTTGTTCGGAGGGGTCGACGAGTTCGACTTGGTGGTCAAGTCTTCAGGGGCGTCGCCACCAATGTCGTCGTCGTCGTCCGCGTCCTCGTCTTCCAGCTCCATCTCTTCTTCCTCCTCCTCCTCTTCCTCCTCATCCTCGTCCTCGTCATCGTCGTCGTCTTCGTCGTCGTCGTCGAGCGTCTCGACCGAGCCCGCGTTTGAGAGCTGGTCGGTCGAGTGCTCGCTGCCGTTGGTGTCTCGGCCGAGGCGATGAATCTTCATGTGTCTCTTCAGCTTGGACTGCTGGGCACAGGTGTGATCACAGACTGAACATTTGTACGGCTTCTCGCCGGTGTGCACCCTCCTGTGGGCGATGAGGCTGCTCTGGAATCGGAACTTCTTGCCGCAGAACTCGCAGCCGTGGATTCGCTCGCCGTCATCGTCCAGGTTGGAGAGGGACTTGGCGGAGCGGGAGAAGTCGGTCGGCTTGTCGGCAAGAGGGGGCGTCGACGCCGACCGCGGGGTGCTGGTGATGGCCATCGCGGGGTTGCTTGGGGTCTCAGCAAGTTGGGATTGTTTCTCGGGGGGTGTCAGCGACTGCGGCCGCGGGGGCCGAGTCTCGCTATCGCTATCTCCACTGGTGTTGTTGTTCAGCAAACTCGAGTTGTTGTTGTTGTTACTATTGTTATTGTTCACAGCACTGAGGTTGTTATTGTTGTTGACTGCGGTAGAGGAACTGGAGGAGGTGCTGTTGCAGTTGTTGCTGTCCTTGGAGTTGTTGAGCGAGAGCGGTGTCGCGGCGGCGGGCGCGGCCCCGGGGGTTGAGCTGCTCGAGAAAGGGGGAGTGAGCAGCCCCTGCCGGGGCGAGGGGGAGGGTGAGTTCCCGTTGGCGGCCGAGGCGGCCCCGGGACTCGTTGCGCCCGCTAGTTGCCGCAGCCGCTGTGAGTAAAAATCCAGCTGCGGTTCCAGATTGAGGGGAGCTGGTGGCGCGCCGGTGGCCGGCCTGCTCGGCGTCGAAGTGGGCGCCACTGACGTCGACGTCGGACCAAAAGGGGAGGCCGGAGGCGGGGGTGCGATGCTGGTGTTGGCCGTGGCGGCGGCCAGTCCCAGGCTCTGCTGGCTCAGCCGGAACTGCTCCGAGACGAGCTGCTCCATGCGGAAGTGGTCGTGACTAGAAGGCCGGGGAAACAGCGGCCCCAGTCCCAGGGGGGACGACATGGAGGTGGGCGGGAACGGGTGCCTGAGCAGCCCTCCCACGGGGAACGGGTGGTGCATGGGGTCCAGCAGGGGCGAGGACGGCGGCGGGTGGGGCCCGCCGTGGGGGTGGAGCCGCGAGCTGGGCGGCGGCACGGACAGCGGCGTCGTGGGGCCCGGCAGGCTACCGCTCGAGCACGCCGACGACGATGAGCAGTTGGACGACGAGGAGCGGTTCTGGTTGTCCTTGTGCGTCTTGGAGGCGTCCGCCGAGGGCGCCGTCTCGACGTAGATCTTGATGCCGTGGCTGTTCTGGACGTGCTGCACGAGCCGCCACGCGGAGTGGAGGCGCTGCTTGCACGTGCTGCACACGTAGTTGTTGGGCTCTGCAACAGAGAGAGGAAAAGGGTCCGTTAGTAAGTGATGACACATTGACGCACGGCGAGCCGCACGGGGCAGTCCAGGCCGCAGGCCTCCGCCGCGGCCCCATTAGAAGCCTGAGCTATTAAGCGATCAACATGGAGAAGAAAAAAACTGAGGCAGAGCTTTGAGTTATCTGCTGAGGGCAAAGTGGCAAAAATAGGCGACTCGTATTTCTTGATCATGATGAGGCCTCCAAGGCGGCGACCCTATCCCTCGGGCGCGCGCCGTCGCGTCCCCGCCCGAAATACCGAGAGGAATAATTGTCACAAAAGGGGGGCTGAAAACGGCGGACAGTAATCAGCACGGGCCGAAAAACGCAAGGAAGGACAAAAGGGCGAGGCTGCTGGAAAGGTCCCATGGGCCATGGGCACAGGCCAGGGGACAAACAAGAACAAAGAAGCTCTCATAACAATAAGTGTACGCTTCGATGGACAGGGACCAATCACACCCACAGCAGAGACACGAGGGACAAGAGAGGGAAGGGGGAGAGGGGAAGGGGGCGGAGAAAAAAAACGGAAGAAGGCCCCCGCGCGCGACTGAAAGAGGTCGCCACGCCGAGAGAGGATGGCATAAGTAATAGTCACGGCCGCGCCCGGAGGGTAGGCAGGCAGGCCCATAGGCAGGCCGCGAGGGCCGCGAGCCACGGATGGCGCGTAATTATGATTACGGCGTGCTTGGTGCGGGGACCCCCTCCTCCCCCTTCGGCTGCTGCAAGCCCGCGCCGCGTTTCGGTCGCGCTCCCGGTGGAGTCGGAGTCAAACCAGCTCCTTCTGACCGTTTTGTCCCCGCCGGTGGTGCCCGCCGCCGCCGGTCCCCGCGCCCGCGCCCCTGTGTTGCTGCCAGCTCTTTGCTCCTTCTTCCCCCCCGATACATTTCCAGGGCGGGGAGGTCGCGTAGGGCCGGAAAGCGCCGTCGATTCAAGGATTCATTAGCGATGGGAGCCGGAGCGGAGCCGAGAGGGGAGGGAGGCGGGGGTCCCTGGTCCTGGCGACAACAAAGGGGGCTCGCCAGACTGCGGAACAGTTTGCTTCGCGGCCCAAAACTCGGCCCGACAATGGTATGGAGATAAACCAGACGAGCTGTAGCGGCCGAGCAGGCCCCAAGTTTTAGCACAGCACAATTTCTAAGAAGGCAGCGGCAGCAAGCAGTCGAGAGGGAAGATTCCTTCTTGGCCTCTCTCCCTCCGGTCCCTTACGCCCCATTCTCTCACTCTCTCCCCCTCCCTCTCTGTCTCTCTTTGCATCTTGCGGTGAGCGACGCAGTGGACGATAAGGCCCACATCGCGGCCGGGCTCACAAGACCGCCTGACCAGAATCAAAACTTGAGCGAGACTTAGCTCGACAAAGAGTCCCGCGCCCCCAACCCCCCACCGCCGCCTCGCCCCACCCTGCCCTCGCCTCGCGGGGTCAGCTTTTTACTTCATTTCCAGTCGACCGTTTGAGCGAGGCGGGCGGGCGGGCGAGTAAACCTGCGATAAGAGAAGGGCCCGGCCCGGCCCCGCCACGGCGAGGAAAGTTAACAGTGCGACTACTACGTCCCATTCATTAAAGTAAAAATACTCAAGTGTGTACGCGGCTATTAAGCGGGAGAGAGAGAGAAGAAGGAGAAGGTGCGCTCCGCTGCGCGGTGCGCCCGCCGGGCCCGTGGGCCAGGGTGTAGGGAGGGAGGAAAGGGAGGGTGTCCCTAAAGACCCTCTGAAGGTGAGGGCGCCTGCAGAGAGATAACTCAAATGAAAGAGAAAAGCACTGCGGGAGGGAGAAAGGGAGACTTGGCCCGGCCAAGGGGATGAGGGTGGCGCGCGGCCGAGGAAAGGGTCGAGGTTTGGTGTGGCTGCCTGGAGCCCCTCCAGACCGTCGCCGCCGCCGCCTCCTCCTCCAGCGGCTCCACCGTAATTGCGAATCTCTTTCTGGCCGCGCCTTCCTCCCCCGGCCCAGGCCCTGCCCGACCAGACCCGCGCGCTCCTCCAAAACTGACGAGCACATTTTCAAGACGTTATCAACACCCGCACCGACCCACCCCACCACCACCCCGGGGCCCGGGCCAGCAGGCGCCCTCTAATCGACGGCGGGGCGGGGCGGGGCGGGGTGGCCTTGGCAGGCCAGGGCGGGCAACAACTGGACGCCAGCCAGACTGCATCACAATTAGGCGCAACTGCATGGCTGCATATGTGCGTGCCCGTCTGCCTTGCGAGAGACCGCCCCGCCGCCGCGGCAGAACGCGAACGCCCACCGGCGGACCGCAGCGCACGCGCCATTGATTTATCGGTAACAACGGCGAGCGAGAGTGAGCGAGTACGCGGCGGGCGAGTGCGCGCGCGCGAGAAAGAGTTGGAGGATCCAGCAGCAGCCGGGCCGCGGGAGGACAGCGGCAGCAGCAGCAGCAGCAGCAGCAGGGCGTCGCCCGGGCAGCCCGGCCAGGCGTAGCCCCGTGAACACGGCAGCTTATGAGGCCCGGGCGGGCGTGGCGCCTCGCTGCCCAGACGACGACGACGACGGTCCGCCCGCTGCCAAATCACCGTGACGCGACAAAAGAAAACAATCGCCACCGACCAATCTTGGTGACCCAAGTACCTCCCACACCGAGGCGTCAGCGTGTGTGAGTGTGTGAGGCAGCGGCGCGTCGGCGGCGGCGCGGTGTTCGAGTGCCTCTGGATGGAACGCCTCGCCTCGCCGCCCTCGGGCCCAGCAGCAGCAGCAGCAGCAGCACAGCGGCGACGGGACCGTCCGCCCCGCCACGTCCCGCCCCCGCGACAAAAACGAGCGGAAAATTGGGCGCGACAAGAAGAAACGGGCGGCAGTGCGCGCTTTAATTCCCCCCTGGCCGCCTCTGGCCGCGGGGCCCAGGATGACGACGACACGACCGACTGCGCCCGCTGCCCCGTGACCCACGACAGGCCGCGCGCCGCCCACGGCGCCGGGGCAAGCGCAAGAAGGGCGAGCGACAGGATACGGTACGATTTGGCGCAGTGTAGCAGCCCTGCCCTTCCCGAGCTCTGCTGCTCTGTCCGGTGTGCCCGTGGGGGCCGCGCTAGCAGCTCCCGCTCGGCCCCGTCGTCGGCCACCCTTTGACGGTGGCCGACGAGAGAGAGGGAGACGAGACGCGACGCCGCGGGGGCTTGCCGAGCTTAGCATGCGAGCCCCATGCTGTTTGAGGCCAGGTCGGCGGCGCGGCGGCGGCACTGCGGGGGTCCGCGGGGGCGCGCCGGAGTGGACACACTCGCTGCACGTCGCCGATGTGTCCTCGTCCTCCCCCCGCCCCGCCTCGCCCCGCCCGCCCGGGCCCGCATATCTGCGGTATCACATCGCGCGGCACAACAGTACCCCCATGTTTCAACGCAAAGCGACGAGAGCAAGCGCGTCGAAAAAGAGAGAGACAAAAAAACACACAACGCGTTAAAAAAACGGCTTGGCACTCAGCATCAGCAGCAAGGGGTCCGCATGTAAAAGAAACGTTGTCCAGAACAAAGAAATGCGATAATTGAACCGCGCGCAGAAACGTGATTTAATAGTGAATGCGGCGTGTTTCTGGCGGTTTATCACCCTGCATCTCCCTCCCTCCCCTCTGCTCCGCCCCCGCCACCCTTCCGTGGAGGACCTGACCACTCAACATTTATGAAAATGCTGCGAGATTCCTATCAGGTCACGTCTCCTCCCGGGCAGGGCCGTCTGTGGCTGCGGCCTGCGCCTTGTGCCCTCCTCGCCTGTGCCACCACGCCACCGCCGCCCCGCTGCTGCCCAGCCCACCAACCACCACCGGGCGCAGCCGGCAGGCCGGCAAAATGAAAAGTTAAGAATAATAATAAAAATGGAATGAAAATGTCCCCTCGCCCGCTCACCGCAGCAGGAGGGAGGCTGTGAGATTCAAACGCGGAACGAAAGAGATCATCGGTGTCTGTCCATCACGCCTCGGATATGGATGGGGTGCAAACAGCTATACTATGGTCAGCGCCGCACCCTCCCCCTTTAACTTTTCCTCCACGGAGTTGAAAAAAAAGAAAGAAAAAAAACTACAACATACACACGCACACTGAAACCGAAAATCCGCGATGTGGTATGTTGTTAAGGAGGATAATAGTGAAGGCGTGGGGTGAGAAGGGAGGAAGAGAGAGGGTGGACCGAGAGAGGGAGGGAGAGAGAGAGAAGGGGGTGGCTCTCGGGCCGCCCAGCTCGGGGGAGGAGTGGTGGTGGAGTGTGCAAGAATCGCCGCATGTGTCCTGGCCGTACGGTCCTCCGTGTGCCGCATAAGAATGGCGGTGGACATTCAAAATAGCCCCTCTCGCCTCCTCTCCCGCCTCCTGCCGCGCCGGCCGCCCCTTCCCGCCTCATCCGCGGCCATATTCATATTTTTATTGTTTCCGACCAGTGTGTTTGGCAGCAGCTGGACCGCATGCGGTGTCCATGTGTGTCTTGGTCTGCCATACCAAATGCAATTTTCGTGTCGGTGGCGCGAACGGCGGGCGGAGCGAGAAAGGAAGGAAGGAAAGGCGGAAGGATGCGAGCGAGCAAGAAAAGTAGAGGGAAGGACGGAGGCGCCGGCGCGAGGAACGTGGCGAGATTTCTACTCGCGCCGTGCCATCCCTATCCAGTCCGGCCGGTCAAGGAGAACACAGGCTAAAAGGGGATTCCGCACACAGCGTCTGCTCCACAATCCGCGAGAGAAAGAGAGAGAAGGGAGGGGGCTGAGGGGCGACGAGGCGAGGAGAAGGTAAGGGGCGTCCAGGCCAGGCGAAGGGTCGGAATCTGCATGAAAGAAGAGACAAAAGCAAGGACAGGCCCGAGAGAGCGGGAGCGGGCGGTGTGGGGGCGGCCAGCGAGCCCGCCTGCGCCCGCCAGCGTTCTGAAAAGGATGAGAGCTTAGGTCAGCACGGGTCAACTTTAGGGTCAAGATGGAGAGTCCCTCAGTGCGCTGGTGTGAGGGGGGAGGGG